TTGGAGACCAGAGACCAGAGGTTGGAGACCAGAGGTTGGAGACCAGGGACCAGATGTTAGAGAACAGATGTTAGAGACCAGATGTTAGAGACCAGGGACCAGATGTTAGAGAACAGATGTTAGAGACCAGAGGTTGAACGGGTTTTGTTGAACTTGTTTAATTTCAAATCTTTAAAGGTCACATGACACACTTTGACCTCCCACACGTGTGTGTGTGCTCTTGTACAGCTGTCTTTGTGAGGACCATTTTGAGCCCACAACCTACAGAATGAAGACATTTCGGTAAAGTGGGGACATTTTGGCCTGTCCTCACTTTGTGACCCACCTTAAATGGACAGTTTGAGGGTTAAGACTTGGTTTTAGGGTTAGACATTTAGTTTGGATGGTTAGAGTTAGGGTAAGGGGCTGGGAAATGCATTATGCCAATGAGTGTCCTCACTAAGATAGAAGTAAAAATGTGTGTGTGGGACAGTTTGATTTATGTACCTGCAGAGATAGACGAGTGGAGGCATCCAGAGGTTCAAACCTCCATCCTCCTTCTCCATCAAACTGAAGCAGGTGAGAGTGGTACTTCCTATTAGAGAAAAGAAGAAGAGGATCGGGGTGTGACTGCTGAGTGCAGCTAGGAGCTCTGCTGCCCCCTGCAGGACCGAAACAAATCTGCTGAAGGTTTTTATGTGGAAAATTGACCGTTGAGTCTCACAAACACGAGTTTCACTAATTAGTGCTGAAGACAAAAGTCAATCAATTAATCAGTGAACTAATCAATGTGTGTGTGTGTGTGTACTGACCACAGGGACGGTCTGTGTGTGATTGAGAGCAGCGCTATCCCAGCATCCTTTGCAGCCTGGAAGATGTTTCCCTCCACGTCGATGCTGACGGCGCTCGTACATTCGTCCAACAGAGCGTAACGAGGGCTGGTCGAGAGACATTCACACCACAGGGAGAGAGAGTCAGTCAGACAGACAAAAAGACAGAACCACAGAGACCAGTAATAAAACAGTGAGTGAATATTTACCGGTGGTAGAACATACGAGCCATCCCCATCCTCTGTTTCTCTCCTCCAGATAAGACGTCCTTCCAGTCGCTGACAGACTCCCAACCTGAGGCACACACAGTTTTTCTTCTTCAGCCTGAGAGATTTGTGTTCTTCCAGTTTTTCTTCCAGAAAATGTTCAGATCAGGTCTGAATACAGTTTCACAAACACACAACAGTCACACTGTACTTTCTTCTACTCTAGGACAGACACACTATTGGTCCCTGTGGGCCCCTGTTCCTGCTGGACTAGTAAAGGAGTTATGTGCTGACATAATTGTCCCCTCGGTCCTGATCATTCACACAAACACACACACACACACACACACACACACACACACACACACACACACACACACACACACACACTGACCTCCCTCTCGGTCTAGGATGTAGACCAGGTGAACAGTGTGAAGAATCTCCTCCAGGTGTGAATCAGTGATTCCTCTCTGCACCATCTCCTCCACTGAGTCTGGATAGATCACCTGGTCCCTGAAGGTTCCCTCTGACATGTAGGGCCTGTAGAGTCCACACAAACATGTCACCTGAGCGCCCCCACCAGTACTTCAGCAGAAGTGCATGGTGACAGATTTACCTCTGAGGGATGTAGAACATGTGCTGAGGATCTGGACGATACAGAACTCCTCCATAAACAGGCCACAGTCCACTGAGGATCCTGAACAGAGAACTCTTCCCACAACCGTTCGGACCTGTGATCAGTACATTCATCCCCTCATCCACCTACACACACACACACACACACACACA